AAAGCTGTGCTCGAAGCACTGAAATGCCAGATTCCATGCTTCACTTTCCATGTAGCAGCTCTACAAATCCACAACATATTTTTTAAACCAGAATGTTTTTAATACCTAGAAATCACCCTCACTTTCTTAATAACACCTGGACCTCAGAAAGAGAGAGCGACAGAGGCAGCAAGAGTCCAACCGTCTGAACCTGGAAATATTTGATCTCTCTGTGAATTCACCTCCGAGCTGCTGATGCTTAATTTCATTCATCTTTAAGAGCTGAGATGTCCCTGAGGGTGATGTAATATTGCATTTAGATTGTTTCTACTGGAACATCTTCTATATGACTTTGTAATATTTATTTATGTCCTTGTTTTTATCTAATGAGCCTTTCAGCTTGAATTCCTTCAACATTTACTTGATTATCTTAACAAAGACGTAGATGGTGAGATTATTACAACTCTCTCTCTCTCAACTCTCGCTTTAGCTTTAAGTTTAGTTCTAGTTATCTGAGGACTGATGCTAAAAGTCATCTTGAGCATGCTGGGAGATGGAGGAGGCATCAGACAAAACTGCATTTCATTGGATGACCGTGCAAATAAGTGCGCAACCCAACAAATAACAACCTACATCGTTAATTAATATTGAAATTCTTGAAAGCATGCAGCCATCAGCCAAATTTGATCAAAAAAGGCTTTAAAAGTTTATTGATTTGCCCCCAAATAAAAGTTTTCTAAAGTTATATTTTTTTCTTTGGCAGTTGTACTTCTGTGGCTTTAATTCACGATTCTTCGAGTGCTACGTCTCTCGAGTGGGAGCTAACTAAACACAGACCGAAAGAGATCAAAGGAACATGCAAGTAATCAGGACGCAGTAGCTGTTAAAAGCAGGCGAAGCAGGCAGCACCTGCTTTTCTGTTTTTTTCTAGAAAAGCAGGTAGCTCTGCTTGCTAATGCACTAAAGCACATAAAGCTCAGATCCCTGTGAATGAGTCTGTGTGGTTTCATGCCACAACCCACCACATCTGGGTCCGTTTGTCACTTCCTGGGAACCGCAGTGAGCGTGGCAGGGCCAGCACACACTCATTAGAGCTGAGGAGTGTGGCCCCTCAGCTCTGTTAGTCATAATATATTTTCTGTTTAATACCACTTCTGTAATGACAGAGTGTGATTAGATCATCTGACTCGCTGCAGCAGCCTGAAAACAGGAGTGTGCTTGTCTTGATGGCCAGAACGCACAGTGCTGTGTCTGTGTCGAGTCTCGAAACACCCCTCATTTCTTTATATTTTGCTTCCAACGAACCAGACTACTTTTTTTTGGTGGTTTTGAGCGATAGTTTAGAAAACCTTCCCATTTTCAGTCCACTCCCTGTACCAGATCAGTTTCAGAGGATTTTTTTTAGTTTGTTAAGACACTTAACACTGACCTATGAATCATTCAACCATAAAAAAAAGCCCCTAACTTAGGATGAACCAGTGTTGTGTTTACACATAACACACAAAATGGGAAAGAACCATATTAAATTATATGTTTAGGGACTTTGTTTCCAGCAGCCTGTTAGAAAACCATCTTATTTGTTTCTATTTCTTTAATTGACAATACAAAAAAATGCAGTTTGACCAGAATAAAATTGTACTTATTTGTACAGCAAACAGAAGAACCTAGCTGAAAATTACTGGAAACTTATGGAGTGATTAATCTAAATTTGAAAAATCTGTGTTTCTAATCATCATAATATGTACAGAGGAGGTCAGGAGAGAGGGACGACAGCCGTCTATGAAAGGGCAGCATTTCTGCCAGTGCTGTTGGGGATCAGTACCAAAAGTATTCCAGGCATGTTTGTATATGTTGTAATAAATCAATACTATTTTGCATTTTCCTAGCAAATTGTAAAGAAATGAGGGGTGGTGCAAGACTTTTGCACAGTGCTGTGGAAGTGGGTCAGATATAGGAGTGAAATCAGTGAAATTTTAATACATAAAAGCATTATATGCATTATCTTTTGTGTTATTGTCTCATCAAGATGAAGAGTTCGGTTTGAGGAGGGTCATAAATAATGTTGCTTTAAGCCTGTGGTTCTCAAACTGTGGCTCTGTAACCGATGGGTGGGCACAGAACCACTGCAGGAGTTTTCTGATTTTACCTTAAATCTCACCTCAGAGCCTTTTGTTGTTGAGGACTGAAGTTTATCTTGGCTTCCAAATTGAGGAATACAGTAAAGGAAGAAACACTGGTTTAGGTCAATGACAAGAACAATAAATTAAGAGGAAACTGGAGGAGAGAGGACACTAAACTAGGACTAATAAAACTGTGTTTTTTGGAAAGTGCGAGGTGGATGTCCTGCCGGTCGTGACTATAAATGACATCATTGGGTCTGAGGATCGCTTCCTTGACTTTCTGGTGTAGAAGTATTCACTGTTAGTCATTCTACGTAAATATTTACACTCATGTAAAGCACAGAAAGAGGAACCGAGACAAGATGGAGCACTTAGACGATCGCAGAAATTTATTAGAAAGACCTCGGACAGGAAGGGACAGGAGGTGTCTTTGTGACGCGTCTGCTTCTAACTCTTTTTCCCCTCTTCTTCTCAAATTTCACCTTCTCCTCCGCTCTTTCTCACACAGAATAACTTCTTCTCCTGTTACACACACACATGAACCCAAACTCTTTCTCTCGCTTCAAACCTTACACACAAACAACATAAATACACACACACACACACACACACACACACACACACACACACACACACACACACACACACACACACAGTTTTCCATGAATCTGTTTCTTCCTTTGACACAAACTTCGTCTTCCAGCAGAATCTTTTTCTTCCTCTCCATCCAAGTCAATTGTTTTGCTTCAGTGAACCACGCCTCCTTCTACACCTCTGTCCCCATCCTTCCACACCAAAACACTCATTCATTTTCCATCTCTCTGTCTTCACCGCCTTGCTCCCTCCCCACCTTTTTACTTCCCTTGCCCTTTGGCTCGCCCTCCCACTACTATGGGCACATTTTCTAAAAACAGTACTCCCTTTCACTGCTACTTAACTGCGTCACTTCCTTTACCACCCTCCCCTTATTCCCTCGCTGTGACACTTACGCACACATCTTGCACATCTGACCTTTGGCCCTTCTCGCTTCCTCTGTCCCTCTCTTGGTTCCCCATTTGCTTCACTGCAACAGCCAGTCACACTTGCAATGTGCCTCAGGCACACCGTGTTTTGACAAACACACCTAATAGATAATAGGATGTGTCATTCTCCAGATCTGGCTCACTCCCTGAATTACAAACACACACATTATATATACAGTTCATACAAGCCTGGGCAAAGTCTTGCATTCAGCAGGACTTGAACCTATTTTTAAGACACATAAAACCAACAATCTACTGGAGCAGCAAGAGAGGCTGAAACAGAGGCTAATGTTGGGTAAATATGTAACCCAATGAGTCAGGCTCAGCCATCACAGGACTGCTATTAGCACTCTTGGCACACACAGGTCATGTATTCTGCCAGCTACTAAATCTGTTTTAAAATGGGGACGACTGAGCACTGAACAGGACACAGACAGAAGGAAAGAAAGATAGGGGGATAAAAGACAAGTGCAGAGAGGCTGCCAAATTATCTGCAGAGGGAAAAGTCAAGGGATTGTGAGTGCCAACGTGAGTGCCCCGTTCGAGTGTCTACTTCCACTCTGATGAGAGCAAGCTGTAGATGTGGACTGTGGGGGCAGGAGGGTGTAGGTGCGCATGTGAGTGTGGCGTTCATTGAGCCCAGTCTTATCACGTCCTCCTGCGCGCCCACTTAAGATAGACCTGCTGGAATAAATAACCCAGTCACATGTCACCCTGGGTATTTTTGCCGTGATTCGAGTGCTCAGTTTTGTTTAATCGTCTCTCCATCTGCAGAGGGAGAGGTTAGCTTTTACGCATGTATCTAAGGTTTAGTCCTCATATAATTCCAATCATTCTTTAAAGCAGCTGAAAAGCTAAGAAAACTGAACAATAGCTTTGGATACTTGTTGCCACGTGCACGAAAGCATTTTAATTTGATCCTCAGGTATCACACAGTGTCTATAAATCAGGTATTTTTATAAATGCCTGACTACAGTTAACGCTTTTTGGCTACTGGAGCTGAAATATGTAAATTTCCATGTGCTGTCGCCCTCTCCAGAGACCAGATTTGACTGATTGATAGTTGAGAAATGGCAGCAATGGCTGAAGGTTGTGTGGAAGTCTGCTGTTAATTTACAGCAGCCATAGCAAGAGGTGGAAAACGTCTAAGCTTGCCAATTGTAATCCTACCAGGCTGAATGCAGCTGATGGCTGAAAATACTATCATATGTGCAGAGCCTTTGTGCTTTGAGTTATTTTCCCTTTTTAAACAAGTAAGGTCAGCTTGAAATGGCACCATAGATACACCTAATACCTGCTGTACTGCTCGGAAACTTTATCCGCAATATTCACTCTAAATCTCACAATTAATTGAGTGAAATCAAGTGCGGCGTTCTCGCCTGAGTGAAGCCTGATTTGCTGCAAGGTCGACCCCAGATTCTCACCTGTGCGTTGACAGTGAGTTGGCCCATCTGGCACGAGCAGCCCGACGGTGTCTCTGGCTCCTCTTCTTGGCAGCTCTCTGCTCAGATAAAGCTCTCACTGTGCTGCACTGATAGGTATGGAGCAGGTCGCAACCCCAATCATAAGACGGCAATCAATGCAGGGCCCGAGCCAGATGTGCATTTGCCCAGAGTAACACCCACAGTGTTTATACTCACATGTATGTGTGCTGTAAAGACATGCACATGCGCTTAATTTTCTTGTGTAGTTTCACTGGAGTAAATGTGTGTTCTGGTTGTATCCCAGAATACACAAATGGCATGGCGTAGCGGAAGCAGTAGGAGGCATGTAGACTGTAGACTGAATGATTGGGTGTGAAGCCGGTATATTAAGTGGAAAATTAATTGTGTGTTGAAGACTCACAGGTGAAGATTTGGACACAATCTTTAGATCTTACCTGCGAGAAACACCTGCGGTACTCCTTCTCCGGCCCTGCGCATGTGTATGTGCGAGGAGCCCCACCTTCTCTGCCTGACTCCATCCCCAGGTGTGAGACGTGCGGGTGCTGTAAGGGGTAGATGCTTCCGGCAGGTGGAGCTTGGGGACTGAAGGCCGGGTGGAGCTCCCTGTCTCTGTGCACAGGGCTGCTGCGGTGGAGAGGTGGGGAAAAAGGTGAACCGGCTGCAGGGGAGTAGGGCCGCGACAGAGGAGGGACAGGTGGAGGTGGGGCAGTGACGGAGCTCCAGTCAAACCGTTGGCGGTTACTGAAGACAGACGGTAGCGAGGAACGTGATAAGGGACGAGAGGGTGGGACTTGCCCTCTGGCCCTCCCGTGCTGTGTATGGGTGTGAGAGGGTCGCAGCAGAGGGCGGATGGTGGGAACTGTGGGCACCTTCTCTGCGGCAGGTGTCTCAGAAATCTCCCACTCTGCATTCTCCTCCTCCTGCCTGTCCCTTTCACCCCTCTCAGCCTCCTCTTCCTCTCCCCTGTTACTCTCTGTGATGTCCTCAGGAGCAGCCTGTTCGGGCGCTACTGTGGCATCTTCAGTGCCGTTCACAGTGTGGCGAGCTTGGCGGTTTTGACGATGCAAAGGCAGAGAGAAGGGAACTCTGCCGTATCCAAACTGACCTGGACGGATGCTGGAAGACCTGAGGGTCAAAAAGAAAAGGCAGATGAAGAAGAGGAAGGAGAAGAGACAGAGAGGCAGAGGCAGTCACACAGACAGAGAGGCAGAGTAAATTTATTATAAACGACACACAACCAGCAGCCTGTGGTGAGCGGGAAGGGTGATGCCTTGCCTGTCTGGATGACAAAAAACAGACGTAATGATGTAATAATACAGTAGATACCAGAAACAGAGCTGGGCAAGTTCCCAAAGCTTGAAACATAATAACAAACCCTGTAATGCTTAAACAATGTCAGCGGTTTAACTAATGGCACCTGAATGAAGCCTCAACATGTCAGTCGAACATTACTCTGAAAACAAACCGGCAGTTTCTTTCATCTTTGTAACATCACACCTTCCCTCACGCCCAGTGATCAATCTTTTCTTGTGTTTTTGTCCACGGCGATGCTGTTGTTCCCCATCCAAACAACCGAGTCCGTCTATTTATCCTAAACAAACCGCCGTTGCTACTGCCAGCGATGCAAAACTCACTTCCTTTGACATTTTCCTGGAAAAAGCGAACTCAAGAGTGCTGAGTAAGGCAAAATGTAAATGTTCTGTTTTTTGGGTTTTTTTGATACGTGCCATAACTGTGATGGAAAGAAGCTTACATAGATTAGCATCCTTAAATTTGGACCTTGTTTTTCTTGACTTGGTGGGTTATAGGTCATCATCCTTAAGGTGTTTTGTTACGCTGTTACGTCACAACTGGGTGGGTTACAGGTGCAGTGGTGCACCCAAACTGTTGCTCTTTAAGTAAAATTAGCTGTGTTTTTTGGTCTTCTTTTTAAATCACTAACCTTCTTGTAGGTAAACCCTCCCGGCTGGTGGAGACCGACCTTCTGCTCCCCCCTCCTCCTGCTCTCAGTGCTCCAGGATTGGTTGGTCGCCTGATGACCCGTGCTGGCTGGTTGTAGCCGTGTGCTGGCGCCCGGTAGGGAGATCTGAAAACAGGAGGCACGGGGTCTTGATTGTTTGAGGAGAATTCTGGCTGGTACAAAGGAGGTGATCGATTGGTTTGCGCTGGTATGGGAGGCCCTCCTCCTCCTTCAGCGGGTGTGTCCCGATAAAGAGGCAATCCTGGGTTTTGATTGGTGGAGACTGACGTAGAGCGATAAGGCAGGTGGTGCTGCCCAGGGTAGCGAGGAGGATAATAGGGACGCACAGGTGAGACGGCAGGATCTCCGACGCCCCCGGGAAGATAACCTGCCCAGTTTGGTGGAGAGTGGGATAGTGGAGGGGCCTGCGGAGGAGGTGGAGGTAAACACTTCCTGCTCCTCTGTGAGATGCCCACGCCACAGGTTTGAGAGCATTCTGACCACTCCCCCCATGTTGACCACACGCCCGCTGCAGGCTCAAACACCTGTCTGGACCTTCGACCTGCCACCTGAGACACAAACACACACAAGCTGTCAATAAAAAGCGGTGCCAAGATCAGACAGACATCTTAAAATCTCATTCAACGGAAGAAAATCCAAACAGGAGTATCAAAGATAAACGATGATGATAATACTAATACTACTACTACTAATATTAATAATAATTGCATTATATCAAAGAGGGCAAGTGTGACATATATGAAGCAACAATTTATGATTTAAACAAACATAATAAAACTGTTTCTGATGAAGTGATCACCTTTGCTGACATACTCAAGCTACTCTTCCAAAGAGCAATAATTTTAAAGATGTCTTGAACAAAAGTTCTCTGGTCTTAATATCTTAATAGAATTATGAATGCAACAAAGTACCATCCGATTTTAATCCACCATACAATACCATCAGGTAAGGATCTGATTGGCAACAGCTTCATTTTTCAGCATCACAACGATCCCACACTGCAAATACACTAAAAACCCTCCCCACAACCCGGACCTCCACTTTACTAAAAAGTGTTGGATCATCTTGACAGAGAACAGAACAAAACGCAGCCAACATCCAAAGAAGAGCTCTTCAAGAGTCCTTGAAGAAGTCTGGAGAACTATTCCTGAAGACTACTTACAGACGCTGTGAGAAAGCTGCCTCAGAGAGTTCATTCTGTGTTTAAGAATAAAGGTACCAAATCTTGACTTACAAGCTCATGAGAATTGCACAAACTCTAATATACTGTATTTCTACGTTCTATGTTTCAATAAACTGCTGCAGCTATTTAGTTTTTTAAAGATTTGAATGTCAAAAACGTCTATAAAGGTAAAAGAAAATTTGCTAAGTATCTAAAGTGCTCCAATAAACCACTGCAGCAGCTGCACCTCTGACTTGCAAACCCTGACAATAATTTAAAGAAGTTCTTAACTCAGTAATAACTGCCATTGCAAAATCCAAACTGTCTCGAAATCCTTTTTCTTCACAGAAACAGAGTTCACTGATGAGCTATAGTCTCATGAATTTCCTTCCTCTGGGGCCAAAATATAAATCCTACACATACTATCCTTCGCCGAGGCTTAGGAGAGACTCGGGCACCTGCCAGCAGCTTGTGAGCAGGAGGAGCCGGCGTCGTATGGACGCACTGCAGAAATGACAAAAATCAGGGCTGATTGCTCTGTGCAGTCTTGTTTGTACATATGAATGTGTGTGAATGCATGTATGTCGGTGCCAGTTCAGGCTTTGCTCTCTTCCTCTGTGGTCATAAAGAAATGTTTCTCCTCTCGTTTCATAACTGAAGCGCTGGCCTGGTTGGCAGACCTGCAAACATGCGAGCTGAACAAAAGTTTCCATTGAGAACGAATCAAAACGTGAATCTGTGCTCTGCTTCTCTCCTCTCTCTTTCCAAGTGTGTAAATGCATGTCTAAATTGGCAGAAATGTGCAAGTAAACATCTTGTACAAACTGTTTGTGGACAGAGGAGAGAGGGGACAAATGTAAGCCTGAGCGCATGTGCGGGCATGCTCTGATCCTCCAGTTCGCCACCAGATTATAAAAAAAAAGAAAGTTCCTGTCTTGGTCTGGGGTAACATGGCAGGAGGGTGGGAGAAAAAGAAAGAGAAAGAAGTGAGGAGGATGAGGAGGGGGTCGAGACGCGCATGTGTGTGTGTGGAAGTGGGGAGGCGTGCGCTGTGGTAATGAGTGACATCAAACACAGCTGCCACATAACTGGGACCATTAACGAGCTCCGTGCAGTGACCCCCACAGCAGCCACCATCGACCTCTGGAGCTACTGGTTAAACTCCAGCGACACTGCTCCTCTACCAGGCCTGGACCAGTCAGGGGTGCAGATATGTCTTCCCTCCGCGCAGTCATTTTCCAAGATCACACTGGTGGGACTTTGCCCTTTAAAGCCGTTTTTTAAAAACAATATTCACACGGCCAGATTACAGTTAAAGAGTGGCTTTAATCATTAGTGGCACTGTGGGTTTCCAGTGGAAGAGAACTTTTTCCTCCTTCTTTCATCTTACGCTTTCATCTTATTGCCAGAGAGACACATTTTGGCTTGTGGCCTTCAAGATAAAAATGCAGCTCTTTACAAAGAACATTCACGTGAATAAAGTGCTAAAAATGATGCTAAAAAAGGGAGAAAGAAATGTGCACATGTACAATACAGTACAAATGAGAGGAGTCTGACACAAAGGTCAACGAAGCGACGCACAAATTGGACGACTGATTGAATATAACACTGATCATTATAAGTCAGTAAGCTTTGGTTCTTATGGTTGTTGTATGTTTCAAGAGATGTTCTTTCCAAAGATGTGCTGCTTCATAGGTAGAGAAGCATCTTTGTCCTCCTGTGTGGTGAAACGCAGGTGTGACGTTCACCTGAAAGAAGCTAATGCCACAGAGAACTCATCCAATAACTAAAGCTGAACCTGGCTCTACTTTTACAGCTATGCAACAGGTCCATCATCATCATGCTTGGCATTAAAAGCAGTTTTATTAATAATGTAGGTTTTTTTTATAAAACCTATTTAGCTTGCAAATGTAGCAATAAAACAGTAATGAGCAACTAGTTTCCAATGTGGTGCTGTGTGTTGCTGAATCTGTTTACTCTGTAATGAATTTTTGGGCCAAGCAGCACATGTCCGCTTTGGTCTTAGCCTGATCATCTGTTAAATTCATCTTCAAAGTGCTAAAAATAGGGTTGCTGTTCTTGTTTAATTAAAAGATGCTGAGATCTGTAGTGAATTGCAAACTTTAGGCTCCAGCATTTCTCCCCTGACTGCCTTTTCTCGCCTAGTTGCAGTACGAGGATGCTAAAGTAAATCATAGAGGGAATGTTAATCCCCCCAAAACTCTTAATTTGTTCAGTTTTGACTGGTAAAGTCTCACAATAGCTGCATAAAGCATGATGACTACATATTTTGCTATTTGTCTTTCACTGGACGTCCTCACGGGCAGTAAGGACAGGATGGACGCCTTCATGTCCTGTAACTCTTTTAGTGTACATGAGTATGTGAGTGACGTTTAAGAGAAGGTGAACCTGTCCTTTCAACTGCTGTCAGCTTTCACCCCTCTGAAGTGAAACTGTTGTGTTGAGCTAACTTAACGATCTAATGGCTCATGGCTCACCTTCCTCTTGGCAGTCCTGGTCACGGAGGTCGTGACCACCACAAAGCTCCACAGCACATAGAGCCTGGAGGGACAAAGAACAGAGGGTAAAAAAGTGGGAGATATACAGGATTTAAAATATCAGCAGGTTGAATGAGGTCTTTTGTAAAGCACGCAGTTAATCCATGACCTGCTATATAATGTTCAGACTTAAAGACTTTCATTAGTCCCTGTTGAGGGATTGTCAGCTTTCTTAAACTTTTCCTTCAGTGTACATTTGTTTTAAAAGGTGTTACAAGTGTTACCCAAACACCTTATTAAATGTTCCAGTGACCTAAGTGTACGTTACCAACCAATTATGCCCCTTTCTCCCCCACTCTGGGTGGCCTGTGGGCTCAAATGGGTGTGAACAAAAGTTTCTTTTTCCCCCTTCAAGGATCACAGGCAAGCATCTCAATCAATCTGGGAAAGCCTGGGAGGTGCTAACAAACTAATGGGTTTTAACAGCAAGCACGTTTTCCCTCCGCATGCCTCTCCCTGCGTGTGTACACACCCTGAGGATGTGGTTTTTAGAGACACACACACAGCTGCCACGCTCTCGGGCTCAATAAGTTGCAACATCCGAAATCATCTTGTAATTTCAGCTACTTTTAATTCGAAGGTGTGATGTTCAAAGACGTGCTGTATGGCTGGGGTGGCTTTGGAGTTGTTGAATTGGGCATGAAGCAACAACTGGGGATTATGTTGAGTCGCTGACTGGGCTGGGCAAAAGCTGTTCACCTGAAAAAGTAGTTTAAATCCTCACATGAGTCGTAGAAGTCTCACTATTCATTGAGAAAGGAAAAAGGAAAAAAAAGACAGATAATACACTTGTTTCAAAGTCTGTCTATAATTATCATAGAAACCGAGACAAGTGTATTGAAACAAGAGGGATAAATTCTTTCCATCTGACAAGGAAAATAGCCAGAACACGATCCTAAACAACTTGCTAAGATGGACCTTTCAGCGCTCACCACCAGAACCAAACCATCCCCACAATCACCAGTCCGCAAGCCACATGTAGTCAGAGTAATTGGTCCCTTCTACCCAGTGTGGTGCACCGCCGCGGTCTCTGGAAGTTTCCCCACACCAGACTACACAATTACCCCCGAAAAACACAAAGATCCCGCACAACAGAGCCGCTCAGGCCGAAGTAAAGACCCCCTACGCGGGTCTACGTTTCCCTCGCCGCTACAGTGGCACATTGTAGAATAACCTCAGAGCAGCGGGGACAGGGGAACAGAGGGAGAAAGAGAATTATATCAGTGGAGAAAACTCCAAAAAATCTGCCCCGAGGAGACAGAGGGAACTCCGAGCTAAAAAAAAAACAGTCGCCTTTGGGTGAATTCCTTTCAGATTACCTGGACAGCGCCCAGTGCGCAACAAGAGGGCATCGTGCGTAAAACCGCAAACTTTACCACAAAACAAAAACAACTTTCTGAAACAACTCTGCGCACAAAGTTGGACTCAGTCTCCCATGTGGTGTTTTCTACGGACAGACCGAGAGAAGCAGCAGGGTGCAGCAGACGTGAAGAAGTTTTACCTGAACAGCAAACCGAGCTGCATGCTCCAAGAGTCTCCCGCACGGTCCCGACTCCGCTCACAGATAATAATTATCAGTCCAGTTTAGTGGTCTAATCCGATCTGCGGAGCCCTGAAAGAAACGTGATAAAGTCCTGCGAGGACTTCAGCTCTCTTCTCTCTCTCTCTTCTCTCTCTTCTCTCTCTCTCTGTCCCCTTCCTCCTGTCACAGTCACTCCCCGTGATTTCTGGAGAGTGGGAAGAGTTTCGCTTTTTTCTCTTTCAGTGCCGTTCACTCGACAACTTCTTTGGGTTCTTAATATAAACTAGTGTGACGCCTGACAGCGCCAGGGGGGGCACGGGAGAAAGAGAGACAGAGAAGGGGGGGGGGGGGGACAGGACAAAAAATGGACAGATTACACAACTTTCTCACACACTCTTCCTCTCTTTCACACATGAAAAACAACCCCCCCACCCAGCCTAAAACGCGCTCATAACACACACTCACTATGGGCCCTGACTGAGCTATAATAACTCTCAGAGCCGCTTTCTTAGTTGCTCAATCTAACATAAGAATGCCCCATTGTGCTTGGTCACACTGATCAGTAGTAATGATCTAAACACTGTCAGGAACAACCCTGAGCTGGCAGCATCTGCAGCAGCAGCACTTTAAAGGGGGAAGTACAAAGAATTATGAGCTTACTGTTGTGCCAACACAAACACTAATTGTTGTCTGACAAAGTTACAGACACAAATTCCAAGTGGGAGATATATGAGTGTTTTTATTTTGCATGGATGAAATATGGCTGTTGACTTACTGGAGCAAAAAAAAAAAAAAGACTTTTTCTCATAACTGTTTAATCACATTTAAAGACTGTAACCAGACATGCTTCACCAATTTGGAGCTCAGATAAGTAGACCCAAGAAACACGGCTCCCCTGAGCACAGATCTCACTCTGTGTGTGTGTGCATGTGTGTGTGTGTTTGAGAGAGAGAGAGAGCAAGAGCTTTGGTTGGAAGCAGATGTGAAAACTGTATGTTTGGTTGCAGTCCACCAACCTTTCCAGTCGGTACCAGGAGGCGTCTCTAAAGGAGGGGTTACTGCTTATCTCCCCACCCCCCACCCCACCGGATTATTCAATGAGCTCAGGCCAGAGGTCCATGCACAATTAGGGGCACAGCCAAGAGTTATAAATGAAAAAACAAATACATTAACAAGTTGGTCTTTATGCCACTAAAATGACCAATAAAACAACAAAAAAACATGAATATGTGTTATATTATTTATCTTCAAATTACACAATTGCGAGAATTCACTGATCCATAGCACATTGTTGTTGTTGTTTTTCTTTTCCACAAAAATGAAAACAGTTCAAACATTAAAGCTGTTGAGAAAATGCTCAGCAAGCTTAGCCAGAGGGTAGCTGCTGCAGGGGCTCTCGGTGAAGTGGATTCCCAGACATCTGACTCCAAGTCGTGGCTGGAAGTAAATGAAGAAGCAAAGGAACAAGGTGAATACAGGTGTGTCTCTCTATGTGTGTTAGGATACTTAACAGAGCATTATAATTATAAATAACAATGTTAAAAATATTTTTCTGGTCATTTTCCATTTATTATAAGAGAACTCGCCTTTAGTGAAGATGCATTATGACAGTTACATTTCAATTTCTTTGGACTCTATAATCAAAGATTTAGGGTCACCTGATCCAGCCCTAACTACATTATCTAAAATAGGAAAGCATAATCTTAAAAGTAGAGAGGGTGTCTGTCTCGCAGGCCTGAAAGCTGAAGGCTCTGCCTCCCATTCTACTCATATATATATACCAGGAACCACAAGTAAACCAGCAGTCTGCGAGCAAACTGCTCTATTGGGGAGATACGGTAGTTTTAGGTCTTTAAAATAAGCTGAGGCCTACATTTGTTCCCAGGGTAAGTAAGATGACACCTGAACTATGATCGCTTCCTAACTCCTTCAATCAATAACTATTGGCAAATACTTGAAATAATGATCTTGATCACTTTTTTCAATATTACTACATTAAGCTTAGCAGTAAATAAGGTAATTAAAATGACGCCATTATATATTGCACATAGCAAGTACTTTTACTTTAGGTACTTTAATATATTTTGAAAGTAATACTTCTGTACTTTAACAGAGGATATGAATGCAGGATTTTTGCTGTAACAGAGTATTTTGACAGTCAGCTGTGTGGTGGAGGTGGACTGGTTGGGTGGTCCACCAGCTGTTAGGTTGGTGGTTTGTTTCTCCTGCAATTCCTGCAAGTCTAACTATCCTTGGGTGAGATCCTGAACATCAGATTGCTCCAGATGCATCCATTAGTGTGTGTGTGTGATTGTGTGTTAGCTTAAAAAACACTATATGTGTAGAATAAGTGTGCACTGCTGTGTATGTGAATGACTGGGTAAATGGAGTTTGCTGCGTAAAGTCCAGTCTATTTTTCGTCAAAGATTTCAGTAGTTGTACCACCAATTCAACTTCATTACTGTAACCTCTACTTCACAATAACAAGAGTCTAAGGTACTTAAATTCTAAGTAAAGATGATCAAACAATAGTCAAACAATCATGTCATCCACACTGAGCGAGGACTTGGCAAAAGTGGGGGATAAGAATTCCCTTCAAAGAACACAACCAGGGTCAGGGAGGGGCAGGAATCTGCCTCAACCAGCTGGGGATGAAGGGCACAGAGAGACGTTAGCATTATTCATTAAACATGCTAATAAACAAAAAGTAAAAAGCAACTTTCAGATTCATGTCCAGGGCCCCTTTTAATGTTTTATGGCGCAGTGCACTGCAAAAGAGCCTGAAAATCATACCCGATGTTTACTTCTCCAACTTGCAAAGGTGTATTTACTTCTGATTGGACTTTCTGATTTCCCACAAGGAAAAATGTGTTTAAATGTGTCACCATATTTACAAAACAAAACAAAACATCCTGGTTGGTTTGGTTTTCTAAAACAGAACACGCCAAGCAGCCAAGCAGCTCACAGGGTGACAGTGGGAGTAAAGAGTGTCATTTAGATCACATGCAGAGGGTGTATATATACAAACACAGCTATTACTTCTTTAGTTGCATGGAAAAGAACTGGTAGTCATCTGCTGTCTATTAACATTGACAAATTTAATAACAGTAGGGAGAGACATTGTTTTTCCTCATGTGCTGCACAAAAAGAAATAAGAAAGAATGAGTGTCACAAACAAGAAAATGGGCTTTCATTCTGTTTATTCTTTCATCGCTTATTCTCTTAAATAAGATTTAATGTATGAACAATATCTAAGGCACGAAAACATTAAAATTATGAGCTTGTTTTGTGTTCTTTATTTTTGGGCTGTGCATTCTTTCTTTTTTTTAAAGATATGTGCTCGATCCGTGGATCTGGTTTACGTTATTAGCTGGTGTCATGCCCCTTGAGGGCTGGGCATAGCTGCATGACACATTAATAAAAAACATAATCTCCTCACCACTGAAAATAGTGAGGCGGGGAAAGTTCAGAGCATGTGAAGAGTAAAGATGAGAGGAGGATCAGCTCGGAGAAAAAGCAGAGCATGAGAGGACAGCGGGAGGAAAGAGGAATGATGGAGATTCGTTTTCTAGTGTGTCTCCTCGAGATCAGAGCCCAGAGAGCCAACATCAAGCCCCCTGCTACTTGTAAGACATTATCTCACTCAAGGTCCCTTCTGATCCCGCTCTTGAACCTCCTCGTTAACATTTCCCACCCTGCTACCCTGAGGCAAAGAGCCCACACGGTGTAAACGAGAGCGGGAAAGGAGGGCGTGCATGTGAGTCATAGTTGGACACGCTGCTTTTCTTGGCAACAATGTGGACACGGCAATGGTGATGGAGATTAGCGACTTCAAAGCCCGCTAAGAGCAGATGACCGAAGACTAAACAACATTACAGACAGGGCTTAAGATCTGATCTGTCAAAATAAAAAACAAGTTCATGTAAAATCAAGAAATGCGCGGGTGCAGTGGGTGAATACAGGGACACACACACTCTATACGTACATCGTGTGTGTGTGTTTTTTGTGTGTTATTAGTGTAAAGGATATCTCTGTACTTCTAAGCACCATGTCTATCAGTAACTACAATTAGCCAGAGGTCATTGCCATGGCTACCACTGGCCCGTGACTACTTATAGCCCTCTTTGCCCCCCCCTTCCGTTGCCCCCTATCTATGTCTTTCTTCTCCTTCCTTCCCTATCTATCTTTCTCTGGATCCTTGAGAAGCAATAACTTACATGCCGGCCTGTCGACACGCACCACCAACCGCAGGACCCTGATTAGCAAAATGTCTCTCTCAACTAGTCACCACAGCACAGAGATAATGTGTGTTTGTGTGTGTGCATGTGTCCGGGGAGGTCTATATGTAGCAGCAGATCTGTTATTTGTCTCGGCTGGCTGATCTGAGTAATAGCACTGCAGATCAGAGTAGCGGGGCCCTGTGGGAGTGATAAATCACTTGAAAAACTTCTAGTATGTACACACACCCTGAGTCCAAAAAACACACACGCCTCAGCCTCGGGTACAGGAACAGTAGGCCCGCTACCATTTCGCTGTTACGGTTAATGAGGGCTCCGGGCTTCTTCAGGTCAGCAGACGGGTTGGGCCTCGGGGCTGGACCGCTGTGTGCTAAAGGTGGCAGCAGGGCGGAGAGATGATAGAGACGGAAGCGGGGGAAGGATCAGTCCTGCAACACTCTTCCAGTAATGATAACAAAGAGCTCATTTCACATTCAGCCACTGACCTACAGAAGAGTCAGCGCTGAAACACGCTTCAACAAAGATGTATGTAGGCACCTCTGCGTGGGGAGGAGGGAGAAGTTTCATCTGTTGGTTCATCCAAGCTGAAATAAATCAGCAGTTATTGGATGTACTGGCATGAAATTATAAAACTTTCATGGTGCACAGAGGATGAATCCTGCACTGAGGATTCATCCTCTGTGCACCATCATAAATATTCTGTTGGTTTCCCTCTGCATGCCCCACCTCCAGACGCTCTGTGCCTCCTCAAAGGTGACCTCCTCACAGTTTTCACACATGACCTTTGGATAATATCCAAAGTTATGCATGCAGCATGCAGCAGTGTTTTCACTACCAGGTTGACCAGATGACCCTCTTTATGTGGGACTGCACTTCATTGACGAACTGTCACAAGCTTTTCTGCTTTTTCTTCAATATGATGGAAACTACCACAAAAAATGAAGCAGCGCTATATTCTGAGAAATATTGTTTTTATCTTTTTTTCACGGGAGGTATTTTTGAATTCCACACCAGGACATTTCTGTTAAAGTATGTCTGTGTCATTATG